GTCTTCCTGTCGATCTTCTTGTATTCGGCTGCATCCATGTCTTCGGATTTCTCCTTCAATACCGCATCTAGATCTTTACCATACATATAATCTTCTATCTGCATATTTCAGAAATCGAAATTCATACCATCGAATCACCCATCTTGACTCCCACAAACAAACCCAAGGCTCACTTGGTATGAGAGCACATCTCTGATATCTTCTCCGCTGCGTTTTCCGAAACCCTTATCCTTTCCTGCCTACCTTGCACCGCCTATCACAAAGGGACCCGTTGCCTGACCTACCAGTCGGGACCGACCCAACACCGCAAGGAGACTTTCGACACAAGGCACTTCCGCAAGTCACAAGGGATTCCCACAGCACAATCAATATCCCATGCCTCCCAATCCACCTTACGAACGAACCTGACTCTGATACCACTTGTTACGAAAATTCTCAGGAAATCAAGATGAGACGATAAAGAACACAAAAATTTGGTAATCCAATTTGATCACGATGATCTACGTCTGGGGGCGCTGCCAAGCCATAAATTTTACTATAAAGTACGCAGACACATGTTAAGGTGAGAATACATGAATATTTATAGGCTTAGCCAATAATATCTAAATCATATTTCTAAAATTTAGAATATAATATCTAAATCACATCTTTAAATTTTAGGATATAATCAAACTTTATATCTCTAATACTAAACATAGTCCGACTAATATAACATGTCTTACTTAATTGCAAGCTATTAAGTTTAATTGAGAATTTACTCAAAACACCGACAATAATGATTACAAGTTTCCAACCCCATTAAATAATAATAATAATAATAAATTATAATATAAATAACTATAAAATTTAACATTTTAAAAATAACCGTAGGACTCTTTTATTATAAATTGCATATTTTATAAAAATAACAGCGCACACAAACAAAAGCACCCTACGCATATGTTCAGATTTTATCAAGATTCTTACGTATTCGTGGAGGATCAATTTGTGGGTCACATTTAATCACAATTTTAATTTAATTTTAATTTTAATTTTAATTTTATTTTTTTCACTTTTTCTCAAGTTCAGCTATTTTAAGGCTGTCACCACAACTTAGGAGTCATTCTTAATACCCATTAATATTTTCTATTTATATGTTCAGTACTTATCATTTATTATTATTATTATTATTATTATTATTATTATTGTAATTCAATATCATGAATTTTTAATTATTTGCGATATTTTTCCTCATCATATGAGAAATTTCTGCAAAGTAATTAAGACTGAGTCCACAAATAATTACAATTAATTTATAAAAGTAAATAAGAATATTAGAAATACAGAATAAAAAAAATAATCAAACATGCTCATAGTAAAAAATTACCATTATTTTGGCATATTTTTATACATATATACATACATACATACATGTGCAAGATGCAAGCTAATTTGTTAAAACTAAAACAGTTTTAAGTGCTGACGTTACTTGACTCTGTTCTCCTTGAATATTTATTTATTTTTATTTATAATTTACTGTATGATTTTTATAAATTTTTTAATAAAAATATAATTTTTTTTACAAAAATATTTTAATATAACATGTTGACTTTCATTTGTAGATATATAAATAAATTATGTATATCACTAAAAATTTAGGAGTGTGTTTTTTCTTTTTTTTTACAAATACTCTATATTTTTTCAAAAAAAATTTAATATATAACACATACCTCATTTAACACAATCATTATATAAACAAAAATTTGAAATCAAATACAAATTGGTATATATATATATTTTTTAAAAAACTCTGATATATATCAAACACACCATAAGAATTCGTATTCCGCATCCGATATTGTATTAGAGTCTAAGTTAGGTTTTGAGGAGTTCCATTTGCGGCATATGGAGTTTCGCATACCTCCAATTGCACCTGAAGGGTGGCTTTTAGGTGAGACGGTCATTCTGTATCCGACAATTTAAAACGCAAATATATATTATTTAATCCGTACTATTTTTAATAAAGTATATTATTTTTTCTTATAAAATATTATATCAAAATAATATTCAATATGTTAAATCCTTCTATGTGGCATGCACTCAATGTATGTGTTTTTTTTTTTTTTTTACGGGATTTAAAAAATTTTGATTTAAATTTGATATTAAAATAACTTATAAATGAGATATTTTGTGAATATATATATATATATTCTTAAAACGTACAGAGTTCAAATACTAAACATACGAAGTTTCAAATTAAAAAATATATATAATTATGTATTGTTTTTGGATACTTGTCTTTATAGTATAATATATTAATTATATATATATATATATTATTTTTTAATAATATTTATTGAAAATTATATCATTAGATATGATTTGGTGAGCACACCTTCAATAATACATTGTTTGCATAATATATTATTAATTCTTATTTATTTGTAATTTGAAATTAATTTGAAATAAAATATTATATATTTTTATTTATATAATATTTTGACATAATAATTTATATGAAAAAATAGTATATTTTTATTAAAATTATATGGATAAATAATGTTGATTTTAATTTAAAATAATATCCAAATATACATAAATTTATATTCTCATTCAATCTTTAGTGATGTTGATTATAGATCATGTTGATACATGCACATTATATATTAGTCTCTGTTCATTTTTATGTTTTTAATTTTGTTTTTACATTATTTATTAAAACAATTTCTTTAAAAAAATATTATATCAAACACTTACTATATTTTTACCGAAATAAATATTTCATCTCTTCAAAATATTTATATTTTATTATTTTCGTCTGTCGAAACACAAGTTTTACATATTTCTTTTTTTTTTTTTTTTTCATTTGACCACACTATATATTATACTCTTTTTGATCTTCAACGAAACTTATATATATTTTTTCATTTGTAATAATTAATTTTATTCATTTACAATTTTATTCCTCCCTTTGTCCCGTAAGAAAGTTGTTTTTAAATATTATTTATTCAATCAATACGTAATATAAATTAAGAAAAAAATGACAAAAATATGTTTATTAGTCTTTTATAATACAAATACAATAATATTTGTGGAGTAAATTATTTAAATATAAAGATATTTTTTAATGTCAAGTATAACGACGCAAAAATCAAATGACAACTTTACATCGGGACGGAAGGAGTATTATTATTTTTTTATTATGTGGGAATCCGTAGCCGCTACCCGAAAATACATTAGGTAAACTCCCGGCCGAACCTAGTACCACAATTTTATTGTTTTTATTTTAACAAATAAGTTGTTTAAGACATTGGGTAGACCCCTATTAAATTTGATTATTACTTATTTTGATTAGAATTGTTATTACTACTATTGTTTATATTTGTGATTATTTACTACTCTCTCCGTCCCATAAATATAGTCTTAATTGGATTGGACACGAGATTTAAGAAATATTGATATTATATTGGTAGCGGATAAAAAGTATGGATAAAAGATTTTTTTGCCTTTGTGAGTGTATTAATATAAAAAGTAATGACAATTATGTAATGAAAATGAAAAAATAAGGGTAGTTTTACGGTGATATGGTTATTTATGGAAATAAGACTATTATTTTGAGACGGACAAAAATGATAAATAAGACTATTGTACTGAGACGAAGGGAGTATTATTGCTACATTGGTGTTGTTGACTATTATATCAATTTATTACTTTCTAACTACCAAACATTAGAGATTGATTCTCAAGAAGCCATTTTTTTTTTAAAAAAAAGACATTCTAATTATTGATGGCTAGGTTTAATTTAATTGAGTAGTTTTCATTACTTGATTTGTTGGTTCCATTGCAACAATTATCTAAACAATTTTTTTGTCCCTTATAAATTTACATATGGGAATTGATATAAAAATAATATGATGAAATAAAGTAAAATAGTGATTTAAAAAAAGTGAATTTATATCAAATAAACTTTTTCTTATATATATATATGACTGAAAACTTTTATTCAGATGTCTTAGAAGTCATTTTCATTTGAAAATTTTTATTTTATATATATAAATATATAAATTTTCGTTGTCAAATTATCATTATTATGTTTCTTTTTTCTTATCTCTCCACTTCATTTCTTAATCTGCCATTGCTGATTGAAGACGACAGAAAACCAATTTGCAAAATTTTAGAATTTATAAAGGTAGATATAAAATACAAAAACACACCCCCTAGTGTTCTTTGTTCTTTATACAGATATAAGTGACATCCAACAACAACAAAAACACATTTAAATTTAAACAAGAAAATAAAATAAAATCAACAGATCAATGATATTAATTTTTCCCAATTTGAGATATAGTATTAATCTGAATAACATGGTAAGACCACACATTTAATTCCTTTATTACATGGTTATAAAATATTTATGGCATCATGGGTTTAATTAGAATTTTTAAATGACACAATTGACTATTCTAAATATATATAACTATATTAAATCACAGAATCATTCTTTGAACTAAACAATATGGGTTAGAGTTGGTGAAGCAAAAGATTATTTTACCATATCATTCTCAACTCATTAATTTAATAAATTATAGACCTTGTTTAAATAGATATTTTCAAATTTTAAAAAATTATCACATTGAAGTACTTTATTTTTTCCCCCCGAAAAAGGATCGTATTAAATACCCAAATTTTTACCTTTTTTCTAAACTTTTACATAACTCTACAATTTCTATCTAAATTGAGTCCTAATTACTGTGACTAGGCAAAAAATAAAATGAATTGCTCAAGACAACTTCATATAAAAGGCAACCTAAATTCTTGCAATCTTAATCAACATTAATAAAAGCAAGCTGATATATATTACTGACTAAAAGACAATTAATTCTCAGCACAATATCAGTCAGTTGATAAACACTGCAATTCCCTCACACCCATATAAATATATAACCTAAAAATCGAACTAAAAACACTAACAACAATAGCTAAAATTAATTAAACTTCACAATTATTGCATGTATCATATATATATATATATATATTCCATAGCTCTTGTTCATGGAGAATTTGGGAATCTTGCAGCATAGGAGTTTAGGCTGAGCTCCAATGAAGCCCTAGAGCCGGCAGCCATCGAATCGTCGCCGACAGCGCAGTGGTGGTTCCATGCATTGAAGTAATCGTTTTCGAGCTTCACATTATCGCCGTGGAGAGGAAAGAGGGGAAGGGTTTCGATCTCGGCTTCTTCCTCGTCCTCTGGTTCGATTTCTAGGGTTTGGTTGCTGCCATTAATGGTGTAACTTGATCTCTTCTCAAGAATTGAATATTGTGAAGAAGAATATGGATCAACCCCTATCCAATTGGCATAATTTTGCCCCATTGATCCTCCACCATTGCCATTGGGAGATATGGAACACTCCTGCATAAAAAAATTGCATGCAAAATGTTCTATCAAGATTCTTGAAATTAAAATTAAAATTAAAATCTTTTGCTCAAAAAGTGGATCAATTTTGGGTAATCTTGGGGAGGTTATCTTAATTAGTTTCCAAAAAAAAAATGGTCAATTTGTGATATCAATGGCTTCTTTAGGGTAAAAATAAAGATGTGTAGATGTCACTTTATACAAGCCCACATCAAAACCCCTTTTTGATAAATAATAACTACTGCCTAGTCTAGTTAATCTTGGAATGATGATTTATTAACTGCTGAATTTTAATTTTTATTTATTTTGGAATTCCAATTAGCTTCAAAAGATTCAATTTTTTCTTGTCCCTTCAATGATTGTTTTTTTAAGGTTAATCTCTGAAAGAATGTTCGAATAAGAGGTGTGTATTCATGGAGTTTTATCAAATTCGAACACTTCCAAGTAATAATTGATGTGTAGTTTTGTTAGATACATATATATATATATATATTCTGAACTCACCCGAAAGCTTTTCTCCATAGCCATGGAAGCTCCATACCCAATGTTGGCAACATGACTCAGAACACCTGGAGAAGAACCAGACGCCGATGGAAAGCCACCGGCTGCAAGAACCAAAGAAACAGATTTAAAAATTCCTTACATTGCTCGATCTTCTTACAGTTAATTGAGAAGAACAAGAAAGGGGGGAAGAAAAAGAAAGAAATTAGAAATTAAATTAAATAGAATCACCGGCGGCGTTGATGGAGGAGAGCTTGTTGTAGATTGGGGCGGCGGGAGAGAGGTGGTGGTGGTGGTGGTGGTAGGGCGGCGGGGGGGAGGGGCGGTGGGTGTGGATGGGGATATGGTGGTGGTGGTGGTGGTGGTGATCGGCGGTGAATCTCTTCTTCTGTCGCTCACGAGCCTTGTGATTCTGGAACCAGTAAAAGACGTTTTTGCCCTCGATCTTGCCATACTGTCGGAGCTTAGCGGAGATTCGCTGAATCTGCTCGGCGGTGGGGGAGCGGACGCCATTGTTGTAGTAGAGCTCCTTCAAGATTCGAATCTGCTCGCTCGTCGGAGTCCAACGAGTGCTGCTTTGTCTGCACATCACTCCGCCGCCGCCGCCGCCGTTCTTAGAACCTTCTTGAATCTCATTGCCTTGCTGCTGCTGCTGCTGAGAATCCATGGAATTTATAAATTAAGGGATTGGAATTAAGGAGATGAAAATTGGGGAAAGAATTATGTATGTATGTAGGAATTACAAGTGTGTATTTGGGATGGGGTTAGGTGTAGAGATATACTACAGTATATATAATGGGGTGGGGGTGGGGGTGGGGGTGGGTAGAGAGAGAGAGAGAGCATAGGCAGCAGGCACATGGAGAGAGAGAGAGGGATTTTATATCAGAGAGAGAAGGACTGAAGTGGACAGCAGAGACCCTAACAAGAAGGAAGGGACAAAAGAGGGAATAGAAAGTTGCAATTCAGACATACACAACACACACTCACTCACATACACTATACATATATACATATATATATTGCTTGGATCAAAAGCCATCCTTGTTTCTATCCATCACATACATTTTCAGATTATATTTATCTATATGTTTATTTTGTACATAAAATTATAAAAATATTAGTATTATATTAAAATATAATAAAAAAAATAAAAAATTGAATTAATTTTATTATTATTATATAATATAAAATATATTTAAATTAAAATAATATTTATAATATTAAATAGATAGCATAATTACTTTTTTAAAAAAATATATATACTTTATTATAAAATCGATCGAAATAAAAAATAAAAAATTTATTAAAAAAAGGGAGTATATAATTAAAATATTTATTATTATTATTATTATTATTATTATTATTATTTGGGGGTTCTCATCATCTGCATTATTGATCAATCTCCCTACCTACAATCACATGCTGACATGATATGTTCAGACTGTAATAACTTGTGTAAATGTACATATACATATACATATAAATATGTGTGAATGAATGCTACAAATTTATTTTTTTTTTTAAAAAAAAAAACCCATAATTTCCCCTGGATGATGAGAGAGAGAGAGATAGAGAGAGAGAGAGAGGAGGGTTCTTCTTTTAATGGTGATTTAAGATAGTCCTTTTGTTATCCATGAAGAAAACTAAAACTAAAGCTGCGAGTCTTTTAGAGAGATATTATTCTTTGTACTTTCACAAGGTTGGTACTATACATACATACATACATATATATATATATTTCATATTTTTCTACAAATTAATTAATTTATTAATTAGATAACCATTAAAAGAATTGTGACAACATAAATACAGCAAAAGAAGAAACTGCAACAAACAAATTAATTAGCATGCGACTGATCTGATCTGATCAGATACGTACATATATATATAATATTATATATATATTGATAGAAAGACCCCCCCCCCCCCCAGGTACCATTTTTATTGGAAATATTAGGCATGTATCTAGCTAGGTACCACCCTAGAAATTCATGACACACTCGTCATTCATCTTGCTTTTAAGTTTTTACAATTTAAAAAAAAAAAAAGTTTTTACAATATAAATAATATGACTCAAACATAAATGCTAGTTGCTAATATTAGTTTAGAAATTATTTTGGTTTAAATTTTTAACTTAGATCAATTCTATTCAAGTCGATAGTTTTTATTATTATTATTATTATTAAAATATATTATATATATATATATTTTTTATAGAATATATCAAACCAAAACCAAACAAACCCTTGGCTAGCAGGGTAAATTAAACTATTGTTAACAATTATTTAATCCGTCTCACATAAAATATTCATTTTTTTTAAATTTTCGCTCGTCCTATATAATTATCTTTTTTTGAAAATATAATTATACACGTTAATCACATTTTAAATTTTATACTTGATAATTTTTTAAATTTTAATTAAACCATTTAGTTATCTTCATCTATAATTATTTTTACGATACACTAATTATTTTTACTAATATATTTTTTTAATTATTTATTAATTATGCATTACCTAAATTATTGTATTTACAGTAATATAAATATATTACATGAGATGGTGGGAGTAGCATTTATGCTTGAGTCCAGACTTTGTTCTCTTTATTATTTCTTCCTACACATTTTTTTTAAAAAAAATCAATATATTATTATGCATATTTATTATTTTTATATTTTTTACACAATTTTTTATATCTCACGTAAAAAAGATCATTTTTCAACAATCTCACAAAATAAACACACCCTCAATATCAACATATATTGTGATTTTAATATATATATATATTTTCAATGAAAAAAAATGTGCATCATTTTAGATTGTATTGGAATTTGTCTTAAGAATAATAATAATAATAATATAACATGCATATATATGTACAATTTTGAAACTTTTGTCACTATATATCTACATTATTCTTTTTCTTAAAAGTATTACATCATACATATTTTTTTAATCACAAAATATTATACTAAATATTAATTTTTTATTAATACATATATGTTTGAACCCTTCATAAATTCAAAGCCTATTGCGATTGTAATATATTTATTGCTATTTTTTTAATGAAAAAATATCTTATATACATGTAAGGATATGTTTGTAATTTATATAAAAATTGAAAGTATTTTAATATTAGTATATGATTATTCTTACTATATTAGAAAATAATTTTTTTTAGTGAGATAGAAAAAAATAATAAAAATAATATTTTTCTGTTGGAATGTATATAGGGAGCAAAATATACTGTAACTCAACTCTAAAAATCAGAGTCATATGTTTTTCTCAAGTTAAAATTTTGGTTCACTTTCTTATGGGCATTCATATGTTGTTCTTTACTTAAGTGATCCAAATATTTGAAAAAAAAAAAAAAAAAAAAAAAACAATCTTATTTTTTTTAAAAAAATAAAAAATAAAAAGACAGCCATATAAATTAATAAAAGATTTCACTAAAACCTAATTTACATTCTTATATTCAAGAACCTATTTTATATAATAGCATTAGTCAAAGAATTAATTGGACAATGCTATTTGTTAATTACAGAATCAATTAATACAAAATTAAATAATAAGTAGTAAATTTACTTGTCACTTTCATCTCAGTTTCATTTTTAATTTTCCTTCAAAGTTTGCTGCAACAGTCAACACAGTCTTTTTAGAGATATTTCTTCGTTGAAGTGATTAATTCTTATTATAGGTTGGTTCAGATTTAAACATACAAAGATAATGAATGGCTTTTGTTTCCTGCTGTTGTCTAAAAGTGGACATAGATACATTTTTCCAGAAATTTAATTTATTATTCACTGTAAATTAATTTCTGGGAATATATATATATATAATAATAAAAATGAAAAACATAAAAATAATGGGGTTGGGGTGAAGATGCAGGAAAATTGATGACATATTGTTGCTATGATTTTCTGCAAATCAAAGCACGCCAGTCCTTGAATTAGACAAAGAAAAATAAAAAAAAATATATAAAAAAAAAATAAATGCATTTTCATTTACTATATATAGACCATATAATATTTTTGTGATGTTTTATTTTGCTCAAGTCTACGAGTATGTTTTTTTGGGTTTGATTTAGATTTTGTATTTAAATAATATTTTGCGAAATATTTGATAAAATCTGAATAAAGAGACACATGTGTAACTATGTATGTCCAAGAAATTATCAATTTATTTGTACGGAGATAAATAAATATTATATTTTAATGATAGTTGATAATAGTTTTGTATGAAAAGATTATTTTACTCAAATAACATAAAATTATTATGAAAATATTGATGTAAATAAATATAAATGTAAAATTATTTGTATTATGTAGTGAGACTCAGTACTAAAAAAAATAAATATTTTTGTATATGAACAACAAAAAATGATAAAATATATATTTATTAAATGGACAAATGAAATACAAAATATTTTCAGTAAAAAAAACTAATAATTCAATATAAAATATTATTTTTATATTATTGATACAATTTTTCATACTTTACGGTAAAAAATACCTAAAACTAAACCACCACAAACACAAACTTAATTGCTTTCATTCAACCAAAGCAAAGCAAACTCAATAATATAAAACCAATATTACTTTTTGAGTCTAAGTTAATTTGTCCCATTTAACTTAGACATGAAATTTTAGGTATTATATAATTAGTAAATAATTAATAAATATATTAGTGAAAAATAATTATGATTTAATAAAAATAATTATAGATTATGATGACCATATAGTTTAATTAAAATAAAAAAATTTATAAATTATGAATTTTAAAATGTCATTAAAGTGTATAATTATATTTTCAAAAATAAAATGACAAATTATATTGAATAAACGGAAATAAAAAGAATAAAAAAATTAAGTGGAACGGATAAAGTATATAACTAAGGGTTTGCTTTTACTCTGCAATGCTTACTTAGGGTGTGTTCGTCTCAAAGATTTTCCTTGATTTTTGTTATTAATCAAATTTTATTTTTTTCAAAAATATCAAATTAACTACATATTTTCTATTTTCTATATTATATTAAAATTTAATTTTATATTTAAAACATCACATCAATACCTATTTACATCATATTATATAACATTTCGATTCAAATTTTTTACTATTCAAATTTCAAATCAAAATTCAGACAAACATACCCTAAATGGATTGTTAGCGGCAATATGCATAATATAAAATACTTGTTTGTTGGAAAGCATCTCGTCTAAAATTCTCTCAAATATGGGAAAAAAAGGTCAACTCCTCCGAGTACATACGAGTGTTATAAACTATAGAATGAAATAACATACAATAATAGTTAATATCCGGTAAACATGTAGTAATAACAATTTATAGTTGAAGTAATAAGAACGAATGCATGCAAAACAATAAATGATTTGTTGACTCAATTCGATTATAATAATCTTCCTTTAAGGATTTCAACTTAGAAATTTATCTATTATCACCTATTACAATTTACAGATATTCAAACCTCCCAAACAACTCCTAACACACATAGTCTCTCTTATTGCTTACTTTATACTATCTTGCATATGTTATATGTATCTGGTTGTCAATAAAAAAGTGATAATACTATCCCGTAAGGGATAGCCTGGAGGTGTGATGGTGGACTCGTGACCGAGAGGTCATGGGTTCAAACTCCGACGGTTCTAGGTCACTTGCCAC